TCTAAGTATTTTGAAATTTTCCAGTGATTACCAGAGGTTGTAGGGACAGGATGATGAAAAATCAAAGCACAAAGGATTTTATGCTAGTGAAACTATTCTATATGATTCTGATGGATCTATGTGACGTGCCTATAATCCTAGTGCTCAAGGGGGTGAGCTAGAAGGACCATATGTTTGAGGCTAGACTAGGCTATATAGTGATTTTGAGACCAGTGTAAGGTACATAGACCTTGTTTCAAAACACAGAGAGAGACACAAAGAGAGACAGAGACAGAGAGACAGAGAGAGAATATAAATCTTAATGAAAATGACTGCCTTGGGCAATGATAGTTATCAATGCACACTCATCACCACTTGGGTGGGGAATTTTGGGACTAAGGAGGGTAGGCATAAGTGGGAGCAAGACAATGTATTGGAAATATCTACCTTACAGTAAATTTATCTGTAAGTGTTCTAAAAAATTAATTCTGTTTAAAGAAAGACATGAGGAATGGGGTGGCAGAGAATTACGCAGGAAGGCTCTGTAAGGACAGGCAGGAGAAGAATGAATTTGAGAGAACAAAGGTGGAGCTGAGAGACTAGAAAGAATACTGGTCTGGAGTATTAGTTTGGAGCTGATGGGGAATACGTCCAGGACAGAAGTCAGCAGAGACTGATCAATGTAAAGATGTGGTTGATTAAAAGTAGACTCTGGAAAGAGCACGGACAGGACTTGGCTGTGGGTCAGACATGTGGACTAAATGGAGAATCAAGAATGACATGATGCCAACCATTCATACCAGCCAAGACACTGAACCAACCGAGACACCATCATCAGATGCTGGATAAATTATGGGTAGGAAACTGGATGAAACTGGAGATCATTGTGTTCAACAAAATGAAAAATTATCAAAATTTTTCTCTCAAATACAGATCTAGATTTGAGTTATATATGTACATATATGTGACATGGTAGCAAAGGGGGGGATTAGGCAGGGATCTAAATAGGATCCAGTGGGAGAAATGGGAATAAGAGAGGATAACGGGGAAACATAATTATCTCATGTATATACATGCATGTATATGGTAAAAGCAGAAAGGGAATTATTGGGGGGCAGCAGGAATGAGAGGGGGACAGGGAAGTAACATAAGGTGAATATGAGTGACCTACAATGATACACATGTGTGAAAATAGTATTCGAATGTGAACTAAAAATGCAATTCCAGAACAGTAAAAAAATTAAAATGATTTAAAAATAGAAGGACTGGGGCTGGAGAGATTGCTCAGTGGTTAAGAGCACTGACTGCTCTTGGAGAGAACCTGGGTTCGATTCCCAGCACCCACATGGTGGTTAACAACTATCTGTAACTCCAGTTCCAGGGGATCTGATGCCTTCTTCTGACCTCCGCGGGCATTGCATGACACGGAGGCACTT